TGTTAAGTAATATAATAAGAATCTCCAATAAGTTTAGCACAGACTCATTGTCCTAATTTAAATATGAGCACAAATTTCCCTTTAACATATTAGGTAATATTTCCTAAAATTTTAATATTTTTAACTGTGTTACTGTCAATGTAACTTCACATTTCAGTTACAACAGCTTAAAAAAGAAAAGGAACTATGTTATTTTGGAAAAGAATGAAGCCTGAGTAATAACGCGTCATACTTTGATATTCAAAGCAATGCCTTCACTATCTTTATCAAAAATAAAATACCTCCCTACTTTGAAAATTATTAAGAACTTATTGAAAACAACACAGTAAAGCGAAATGACTTCTCCGTAATAAAATACGTTCAGGTGATAGACTTTGGGGGGAGAAGAGTTATAACCCTTCAAAAGTATGTGATTTCCAGTGACGTGTGAATTTGCATGTCACAACTATTTTTAAAATAAGGCTATAGTCATGATCTTGGATCTTCGGGAGAAGAGAGTAAAAACAAGAAAAAGCATGCACTTACATATTTTTATTAATAATCAAATATTAAAGCTATATTTTGCTTCTGGTTGGAAAACAGCTCAAAGAAAAAGAAATAAAAACAAACAAAACAGAAAACTTAGTACTGTCTTTATCCAGTTCAGGATATAATATGAGAAAATCAGTCCTTCTACTTATCCACACCTCATGCCAAAATCAGAAGGGGATAGGACCAATTATTTCTCACAACAAGTAAGCCTGTAATAGAAAAGTGAGGTAGCTGAAAGACACATGGTCTCTTCACTGGTGACCCAAATCTGGTCCTTGCTGGAGTGAAAGTGCATCAGCCCCTCTGCCGACAAGGCTCTCTCCACCAGGAGTGCTTCTCTGGCTCTTCCCACGCTTGGCTCTTCTCATCCTTCACAGTGAGGTTCAGCCTCCACAGAGAACCCTTCCTGAGTCCCCTTCCCACACTGCTTCTGACACCAGCTCTGTCCCTGGAGTCCTGGGTGTGTCTCCGCCGTGTCTGTCCTTACCCTGTTATTCCCCAGTATATTGCCTATCTCCCTCAACAAAACACAAGCTCCTCCGAGAGAGCGGCTAGCTCAGGGCTGGAGCAGGGTTGGCCGGTAATGGACAGGCACTCAGTAAACTTCTGAACCCAGCTAAAGTCGAAGTCACCACCAGAAAAGAATATTTCCATGCGTTTTACCAGGAAGGTAGGTCTTCTTGGTGTTTCAGACAGGGGAGGCCCAACTCCTGCCGAGCTGTGTCCTCTCCCTGCAGGGGGACCCATTTGACAGAAAATGACCCTCCAGAGGCTGAAAAACTGCCTGGCAAAAGCCTCCCATAACATGGTCAGTGTTTTGGACCAAGAAGAGAGAGGACTCTTCAAGAAGAGAAGTGGGTGGCTCCTATAGCTCAAGCAGCTAAGGTGCCAACCCCATACACCAGAGTTGACAGGTTCGAATCCAGTCCCAGCCTGCCAAACAATGACAACTACAACCATAAATTAGAGGGCACTGTGGTGGGTACCTGTAATCCCAGCTACTCAGGAGGCTGAGGCAAGAGAATCGCTTAAGCCCAAGAGTTTGAGGTTGCTATGAGCTGTGAAGTCACAGCACTCTACCAAGGGTGATAGCTTGAGGCTGTCTCAAAAAAAAAAAAAAAAAAAAAAAGAGATAGAGAAGTGGAACCCTAACCCTCGTCTGCAGCTTCCCTTCCACAGAGAACGAAAGAAGCAAGTCCTCAGCTTCAGCCAGTGAGTCTCCATTCCATCCTGTGGCAGTGGCATTAACCTCACAGCCCATGACCCTCTAAGCCTTTCCTGGTTCCAAGTCCCACAGATTTTGGGAAAGGCACCAGGCTTACACCGAGTAGATGCTACTTTTAACAATCTGCAAGTACATTACCATTTCCTCCTAAAGCACTCTGAGTCACCAATGCACACCAAAGCGGGGCCCTCCTCTGACCCTCACAAAGTTTAAAATTTGCACTTACACCTGTGGGGTGAGTCGTGCCACCGCACTCACTGACAGGCTGTTTTCCCAGTGATGTTTCATCCCATTTCAGGTATTCTGCACTTTTGATGACAATGTTTTTTTAAGGAAGACAAAATTAAACCATACATTCAATATGGCTATTGTATCTTTCCTTCCCAAAAAAGTAGGAATTATGCATCTAAACCCTGACTTCACAGCAAAAATAATACAAATTTGCAAGCTGAACACAATAGTAGTCTCTTTGGGCTCCAGGGGTCTGTAAGAGCAATGTGAAATCCCTTCACAATAGTAGTCTCTTTGGGCTCCAGGGGTCTGTAAGAGCAATGTGAAATCCCTTCACAATAGTAGTCTCTGTGAGGGCTCCAGGGGTCTATAAAAGCAATGTGAAATCCCTTCAGGCCTTTGCAGAACTTCTGAGTGAAAGTAAAAGCTAAAATTAACATTAAAATACAAAGTATTTTTAACTTAACATAAATTAACAATGTACCTATTTCAATTCCCTTGTTCTTGGGATGACTATGTCCTTTGGAAAATCTTTAAATAACTTGAGGTTTCCACCATTAATTTACTATTTCAAGAATGTTTTTTTTTTTTTAACAGCAAGATAACTTTATGTTACCATCTAGCTGCCAAAGCCTGGTTGAAGTTCTCCCATGTGGCACCCTAAACCGGGGGTCCCCGAGGACTGGTTTCATAGAAGACAATTTTTCCATGGACTTTGGTAGTGGAGGCTGGAGTGGAGGGTGGAAGGCTTAGATTCTCATAAGGGGCTCACAACCTAGATCCCACATGTGCGTTTACACTAGACCCACTCCCTTGTGAAAACTTAATGCCTGGCCAGTGATCTGACAGGAGGTGGAACTCATGCAATGACGTGAGTGACGGAGAGTGGCCATAACCAAAGATGACGCTTCCTTCGCTCACCACCACACCTCCTGCTGTGAAGCCCAGTTCCCAACAGGCTATGGACCAGTACCAGTCCAGGACCTGGGAGTTGGGGACTGCAGCTCCAACAATTAAATTACTTATTGGAAATTGTGTTCCTTATCCACCTAGCGCTCCATTTGTGTGGACCAAATTTCAAAATACTGTAATTTTAAAAATGATTAGAAAAATGTGGTTGCCACCATCATGAGGAACTCACATACAGCAGGGCTCAGAAGGGTCGGCTTTGAAGTCTTCCAAAACTTTGCTGGTTTTCAGCTACAATTCCTTTAGAGTAGTCTTTGCCTATAGATAAGGCTGTAAGATCATGATAATACAAACCACTTAAGGAAATTTCCCATTGCTTTAAATGAACAAGGGTAGTAAAAAGAGACCGGACTACAGGGATGGTTGAGGGTACCTGCTGGGCAAGTAATCACAGTATGTGAATGAAATTTTAAATGCCTGTTGGAAAGCAACAGCCTGCATAACTGTCACCGAGACACAATCATCACAGTAGAACTGTCCTCTCTGATGTCTCATGGACATTTCATGTCTCTTTAGGTTAAACAAAGAGGGTCCTATGTTGCTTTAAAACCAAGAGTTGCCTCCTCCTAAGCTACAGAGGGGCTCCCACCCAGCACTAACTCCTGTGTGCAGCTTCACTCGCCTTCCCAGAGCAGAGCAGGTGGTTCCAGGTAATAAAAAGTGGGAACTTCTAGACTCTAGAGCTAATTAGAGCTTTACTCTGTCTCAGACACTAATAGCAAAATAGAGAAGCCTCTGATAGCTTCAGGTTTGGAAATATGTTTCTTAAAAATACTAAACACTTAACAAACTTTATAAATTCTCTACAGCCATTTTTCAGTTTTTGTGAAACGTTAATTGCCTAGATGTTCCGACTTGCAGAGATAAAAAAGGATCTTTTTCTTTTTTATTTTATTTTTCTGAAACATGGTCTCACTTTGTTGCTCAGATTACTGTGCAGTGGTATCATCATTGGTTGGTACAACCTCTAACTTGTGGAGTCAAGGTATCCTCCTGCCTTGACCTCCACAAGGGCTAGAATTGCTCTAGGAAGCTGGGGTGGAGGTCTGGCTAACTTTTTTATATTTTAAAAATACGTACATCATTGTTCATAATGACTAATTTTTTCCAAAATGGTGATCCATACTAAAAACATGTACAAAATATCATATATGGCTCTTATATGCAATAATGCATAAGTGTAGTATGTTAATTATTCTGATATCTTGGGGGCATAGATTTGTATTTATTTATCTTTAAGTTAATAATATTTTACTTAAGTACAAAAACTATTATATTTATTTATATATCATTTCATACATATAAACAAAACAATACACTGAGTATTGAGTCATTTATAGTTTATTTTAAATTATAATAAATTTTGAAGATGTTGAGAACTACGTGAAATCAAAGGAAACTTTTTGTTTCAATTAAAATTGCAATGGCTCTTCCTAAATGGCATCTGGCTTTTAACTGCAGATGGGAAAAGTGATAAGAGGAGGTCCTGAGAATCAAACCCAGGATCGACGGTCTAGATGGCTAACCAGAATCCATGGTCTAGATGGCTAACCCAGGATCCACGGTCTAGATGGCTGAACCCAGGATCCACGGTCTAGATGGCTGAACCCAGGATCCACGGTCTAGATGGCTGAACCCAGGATCCATGGTCTAGATGGCTAACCAGGATCCACAGTCTAGATGGCCAACAAGGATTCATGGTCTAGATGGCTAACCCAGGACCCATGGTTTAGATGGCTAACCCAAGACCCACGGTCTAGATGGCTAACCAGGATTCACGGTCTAGATGGCTAACCAGGATCCACAGTCTAGATGGCTGAATCCAGGACCCACAGTCTAGATGGCTAACCAGGATCCACGGTCTAGATGGCTACACAGGATCCAAAATCTAGACTTAACAGACAACATACATGCAGGAAAAGAAAATGGGGACCAGGTATTATAATCAGCAAAGATCACATGACTGAACAGATAGTTCTGAATATCTATGGATAAAAATAGCATTATATTCACGTACTATCAATTTTAATTTCAAGTTTGACCTATTGCTTCTTGGCTTTTTGGCTAAGATCAAGTGTAGTATCTGTTCAAGTTTGATTTTTTGGTCTTTTAGTAGCTCCCTTCTATATTTCGATTATGATAAATGCTATAATGATGCTGACAAAAATCTCCAAAAAGTACCTTAGTGAATTCCTAACTTAAATACATCTCTTATAAGGGGAGGAAAAAAGAATAAAAATAAGAATCAAGCTATTTCATTAAACTCCTATTAAGCAGCTAACTTTTGGCTGCTTTGTTAAGCGTTACCGCTATACTAGATGGAGACTGTCTTGATACTCAGTACACTGAACACTGAGTGATGCAGGCAGCTTACAGGGCCAAACAGCCTTCAAGACTACTGCACTCCATCTTCTGCTGTTTTGTGTCATGCACAATTTGAAATTAGCGAAGAATTTTCTAATGCTGTCCCGTCCTAGATGTTAATATGATTTTCTCTCCTTTGTCAAATCTTGAGAAACAATAACACTAAAGATGCAAAGTTGTCAACAGTCCGTGGAGGCAAGAAGCAAATTTCTCTTCTTTTTATGTCACAAACACTGTCCTCACCTGCCCAAAGTTTGCAGCAGGGGACTTTATATCAAGCAGGCACAGAAATTTTCCCTGGTGTTCAGGGTTTACAATCTAAGAAATAGCATGTTGGCAAACATATCTCCCTAAAGAATAACCTTGGCTGGTTTTGATTAAGTCTATTTCCTTTTTTATTTATAGTGGGAACTGGTACCAGATAACCCTTGCAAAAGCACACGGTTCCATTTCCCTTCTGAAAAACATGTAACTGCTTTCCACTACCCAGTGGGTCTGGTTACAGGATTAAGATCCACGGACCTCCATAATCTGCCTCTGCTTCCTTCTGCCCACATTTGTCTTCCTGTACTTTCTAAAATAAATTCTAAGCTCCAGCCGGGTCAATCTTCTTACTGTTTTCCATACTTACACTTGTTCCTGGGGGTATCTCCCCCAACCTGAAAAGTGCCTTGATCCCCCTGCACACACACACACACACACTCACTCTACACAGATGCCCACCCTGAGATCCCTGGGACTTGTGAAGACCCTAGGTTGCAGCTCCACCTTTTTCCTTGTTGACATCGTCAAAGCCTATTTGAAATGTGCCTGGTGCAAAGGAGACCCTCAGTAAAAGTTAATTACCATCTCACCTCCACTTCTCAAATCCCTGACCACCCCCAGTATTTTTGCTGTAATTCTGCTGTGATTCAAGACATGCTTAGAACTCTTATGGAATTGTCTTCAGTACTTTGCTCAGAATACATTCAGTTATAAGTCACAGACCATCAGACAGGATGCAGAGTAAGTCGAGGGTGTATTTTGTTCATATAACAGGGCATTCAGAAGCGTGTCACCCAGGACCAGGAAGGCACTCTGTGAAGTTGTCAGGGTCCCAATTCCCCTGATGGTTCTGCCCCAACCAGCCTGAGGATGTAGAGCAGTCTCCAGGTGTGCTCACAGTTGTAACCTGGCTAACCATCCCACCTTACCCTCTCCTCAGGTGTGGAAGAAGGCCCCAAGGGCCCAAAACTTAATCCACTAGAGGCTTTGCCTTTTAATTAGAGAAGAGGGTCTTTCCCAGGAACTCCCTCTATAAATTGTTGGTGAGTCCTGCATTGCCTGCATACAAAGTGGATTGAACGTCTAGCTTTCCAGCCTCTATAATAAAGTAAGACAGGCGCTAGGGGGAAAGAATGAATCAAAGAACTACCCCCTAAGTCCATCTTTGTAAAAATTGTATTTGCTATGAATGTCCCCAAGTATGTGTCTTGGCCTCTGTAGGCAATTCCAAAAGAGAAATGCAAACACAATTTGGACCATGGCAACAACATCAGAAAAATTGCTCATATTCCAAAAGTAACACGTTTAAAGTGGGCAGCATGCTTCTAAATACGATATCTTCTGTGTGTCAGCATGTCACTACAGGACAGCTTCTCTCATTCGGGGGCGTGCAGCAGTAGTAACCAGCTTCCTGACACAGCAGGAAGCTCTCTGAGGGTGGCCCATGCTCTGGACCATCCCTCGATCCCTATTGTACCCAGAAGGCTGCCTGACAGAATGCATGGAGGTGCATGATTCAGCCACAGGAGGCAAACAGAGTGCCACTTTAGAGACTGGGCAGCTGTAACTCTGTGCTGGCATTATAAAGTTATAGTGCACTTGGCAGGGTTCTGACATGTGGTCACCACTCCACAAATCTTTGCTGAATTGGATAGAGTGGTTCACCTGTTCTAGGGTTAAATAGGGGTTGACCCCTTTCTGTCCAACTGAGCAACTGCTCTATTAATGTTCATCAGACACTTCCGACACTGATGATTTTTCTGCCTAATTTGTTGTCCACTTCTCTGCTGAGAATTGTGAGAAATCCATGTAACAACACATTGTGCAGCTCCATGCACCACGCCCCTCCCAGACAACACAAAGGCACCTCCACAGCTGCGCTGTGTGCGGCCTACGCAGCCACACGCAATGGCCCTGGGGACACTGCCACACTGCCCTTATTCACTTAACAGCTCATGATGGCAAAAACAGACCGGAATTCCAAGAAATCCATTGCTGATTTGACCCGTCTTATGCACCATATGACAAAGAAGATTCTTCCTTTTGTTGAAATAGTCGCAAAGCAGGTCAATTTTGACATTTCCCACCCTGACACCCAGGATTGCAAAGCAGACCTGATGCCTCTGCCCACCTTGCTATCAGGAGATGGGCAGAGTGCATGTCGGATGGGAAACTGAACTAGACTCAGGGTCTCCTGAAAGTTAAATGGCACTTGGGACACCAGCCCCGAGCAGTGAATTCTGACCCTACAGGCAGCACCATCTCAGGGCCTGGTCTCCACATCTAAGGAGCTCTTGTTGCATGTGCCAATCAGAGCGTTGAGCCGCTCAGGAGAGTCAGGGCGGCAAAACTGTCAGGGCTTCTGGGAGTCAGTTCATGTCACAATGGCAGTTAGAAATCGGCCATGGTGAAACTATTTACACTGTAGAAATGCACAAATTTGGGCTTTTTGTTTTGAGCTGGTCGGTGAGCATTTATGAACATGCCACCGACTGTGTGTAGAATGGGGAGGAGGCGGCAGCCTCAGGTTTGCAGCGGTGGAGACACGCTGACCATAACCAGAAAAGGCAGGTTGTCTAACAGAAAACCATCAAACTCCAGGGCAGAGGCCAACGACAGGTACGGATTTAACCTCCAGATGCTTCGCCCCATGCCACGTCCTGCAGAGACCAAACAGGAAGCTCAAAGCCAATCTCCTGGCTTTGAAGGACTCCCAAATGACTTCCAAATATGACAGAATCAGTAAGAGGAAAAACTCAGTGAATCCTGGCTGTGCCGAACGTCTGTCACCTCATGTCATCCTCCAGTCCTTACAACACTGGTCCTGTTCTTAGCCTTGTTTTCTAGGTGAGGAAATGAAGAAGCCAAGTGCATCACTTGGGCTCTCACAGAGTGTGGACAAAGCTGTGGATCAGCCTCAAGCTGCCAGAGCCACCAGAGGGTGATCCCCCACCCAAGAGCACAGTGCCAGCAAGGGTTACTGTGGGCAGGGATGCTCACAGGCCAGCGTGTAGGTCGAGGGACACAGGAGAAGGACAAGAGATTTGAAGGGGAAGGAGGCAGAAAGGGCAGCAGAGGATGAGGCTAAAGAATGGTCCAGATCAGGTGGACCTGAGTCAATGACCAGAGCAAGGGTGTCTGCCACCCTGTAGATACCACACAGATCTCCAAACGAGATCTCCTTCTGAGGCACATGCTACACACATCTCCCGAGAGAAGTTTCCAAGAGATGAGGCTTAAATTAGCCCGTCTACACTGGGAGGAGTGTGTATCTAACCATATCCCTGCAGAATTTCCTTTTTCTTGGAAATTCAAAGTCATTACTCATTCCCCACAATTAAAACTGAACTAAAACTAATTCCTTCCCAGTGCACAAAAGCATATTTCAGTGGGCTAATTACACAAACTCCGGCAGCAGAGATCACATTCTGCATGGTTTAATTAAAGGTGACGATCCTGAAACTGTAAAACTCCAGTCCAAAACATCTGAAATCAGGTAGAGCATTAATCAATGATTCCCTCTCTTCAGTGAGAATGACATCTTACTCACAGATTATTATCAATCTTTAACTCTTTGGAAGCAAGGCACCGTCCCTGCCGCAGCTCCTGGATTGTTTTCTTACCACTATGGCATGTTTTTCCAACCAGCTCCCACTGAGAAAGTTGTGCCATTTGGAATCAGATGCTCTGTGAACCAAGTTATACCCTCTGAGAACACATGAACACCACACAGAAACGCTTTATTACAACAGCAGCTGAAGTGGTTACAGTGGTTTCCCTGTGCCCAGGGCCAGAACTAGCGAGGGCTTCCCCCATTCTGCAGACCCTGCGGTGGGCGTGGACACAGAGAGAAAAGAGAGCTCTTTGTCTGTGCTGGAGTGGGAGGAGCCCTCCCAGGCGCCTTTTCCTCCTCTGAGAGCAAGAGATTTGGAAAGTGATTCAACTAGTTCACTTTGGAAATGTTTCTTGACTCAGTTCCAACAAGGCGTGAACTTAGAACACAGTCATTCCCGGTTTGCCTCATTAAAGGAGCCATGAGCTAACATGATCCCAAGTACAGACTAAAATGCCAGTTCAGGATCACTCAGTAAAGCTTTTTTAAATAAAAGTGAATATTTAGAAACAATACAAATGGCCAAAGTAATGATTCATTTTGATTATGACATGATGTATCAGTGTCTGTTAAAAATCACGCAGAGATAAAATAGGAAACTCAAGGACAGTATCAGATCCCACAGGGAAAATATCCCAAGGTCATGTTAAATGAAAAAACAAAACACAAACGTTCTTATTCCAAATTTTAAAAACAGTTTGTGTGTTTCTTCCTACATATGTGAAAACAGACATTATTTATAAATAGCTATATGTGTATATACTGTGCATATACCATGCATATGTGTGTATATGTGTATATTCTTCTCAATCTTAAATATGTAACATAATATAAACATTATATAACACATTTGTACTATATGTAAGGGTAAAACAGATATTTGTAAATTTGTATTTAATGCATATATTCCATATTGAAAGAATAAGCATAAAATTCTGTGAAAGTTATTTTTTAGTAATTGGTTTACAGAGGATTTTTATATTATTCTTTAT